TATAAAGAGAAAAGGTTTGGATTTAGAAGGTGCTGACTGGTTGTGATGCCACAAATGTTAAAAAGGCTTCACTGGATTGAGCATGAGCAGTGTGTGGTCTGTATGCAGCTGGTACATTCTGGGTATTCCCAAAGTTTGAGAAGGGTGTATTGTAGTCAAGATGGTGCTCAGGCATTACAAAACTTACTCGTAAAAACAAGACCATAGCTTCTCTTGTTCTTTAGTATAGAATGTAAATGTAAATTAAATGTGATTCAGCCTGTTAATATTTATTAAGTGTGAATAATTACATCTGCCTCTAATAGTGAAGATTTGAAACAGCAGGACTCCACATTTGTCTGGCATTCTTGCTAAAGTCAGATGTTTAAAGATATTTGATTGAATTATCTATCACCTGGCAGGATTTCTCTGTTGCTTTATAGCTGTCTATCTCAAATGCAGTCTGGAGTAGCAGCTAAAGAAGTAAAGGAGAGAAAATGAGATATTTATTGGTATAAATCAATACAGATTTTTGACTCCAACAAAATTGCACAGATGTCTACAAGCTGAATATATTAAAGAATACCAAGGGATACATGGGTCTACTGTAGACTTTCTCCTCCTTAATAGTCATCTCACTCCTTTAATAATTAAGAAGTGATAATTGTGATTAACGCTAGGGTCCAATTGACTAAAGTGGCATTGATGCCTAGAACCTTTGGGATGTGGGATGTGTGATGTGTCTCTGCTAACCACCTGCCAGAGAACTGTTTTCCAGAATTTGGTAGCTGTCAACCCAAATCTGACTCTTTCACAGATTGGCAGGTTTCACACTGCCCTCTGTGCTTCCTACTTCTGTTGCTGATTGATATGGCTCTGCATATTCTGATCTCATGCCTCCATGTAAGGAGCATGCCTTGGCTCACGATACTTTCTAATTATTTTTCTTATGAGCCTAGCCTTTGTTTCTTAGCAAAAAAAAGTAGAGAGTTTTTCTTTATCAGAATTCAAGAATGGTAACAATTTCAAATACAGTGCTATGTATTTGGCAGTGAGGTATCTCCCTAGTTGTAGTTTATCCTACCAGTGGTCTTTAGGGCACTAGCAGTTTGCTTCACATATTATGTTACAGTCTGACAGCCATCTCTATTGCAAATCTGCATAGCGTAATTCATTATGGATGATAAAATTTGTCAAAGCAATTTTTATACCCTGAATCTCAAATATATTTTCAGGTTTTGACCAACTCTATGCATATCATGTCTTTGCATCATGAGAAAAGTTTTGATCACAGTAACACTTGTTTCTGAGGACAGGCTTCCCTCACCCCTCTCCACCCATTTTCTGGCATACCTTGGTCATGCGTTCAGTCTGTACTTGCCTCTGCAACATGCACAAGCTGCATCAGTGTATGAACTAAAAGAATATGGGAAAAGAACTTGCATGAGACTTGTATTTATCACTTAAGACCAAGTTTAGCTGAATGGAAAATCTTAATCACTCCCAATGATAAATGTTACTGTAATATAGGAAGCAACAGAATGATCAACAATAGAATTTATTAATAAACCATGTAGCTCTAAATACTTTAGCATGTGGTGTTTTATTAGGGTGAAAACATGAGTATACACATACAGTTGTCAGGATTTTGTTTAGAAAAAAATAGAGCTGATCAAATATTTGGTAATACTCCATGACTTTTATTTTTTTAATTAGAGTTTTTTATGATTTTTAATGTCCATTTTGTTTTATCTACTTTCTTTTTCTAAGTTTGTTGGTAGGCACAGCCAAGTTTAAACATCCTTTCCTAAATTCTAGACCTTAGAGTGAAAATTCTTCTGTCACCTCGCAAAATTTTTTTCAGTAAAATTATTTTATAGTGTATAAAAACAGCTCCCTTAAAGTAGTTCATAGAAATGCGGATGAAACACAAGTCACCTGAAAGAGTTTAGCAATTACTAGAACAATGGCTGTCTTGATGTAAAGTAGCAGAATACTGAACCATTTGATAAAATTGAATTTGTAACTTATTAATTAGAATTACATTCAAGTTGCTATAAAAATATTAGACTTATTTTATATCAGCTTCCTTTAGTGATATCTCAGTAAAAATCTTTGCTGCTGCCTCTATGAATGTGTAAGTGTAGTTCCTTTCCTTTTGATCTGATCGTGATTTCATTTTGGTACTTTGTAATGTTAAATATTGTCCAGAATTTTTATGTCAGAAAAGGTGCTTTTTCTTGAAGTGCAGCAGGCACAACCTACAACGTTGTTCCCTAGTGCAGCCTCCTCTGAAGAACTTGCAGGAAGAGGATCTTCTCTGGGTATTTTATTTAGTAAGGAAATGTATTGTTTGTCCTTCAGAAACAGTACTAGAAAAAAATTCCAGTGTTTTTCAAATGCTGACCAAAGTATTTATCAAAATATGGCGATTGTTTTCTTGTTTTAAGTTTGCTTCTGTTTAGCACAAACTACCCACAACTGTTGTCTTAGCAAAAGTATTGAATCAATGTATGCCTACAGTTTCAGCTAATATCAGTGTAAATACTGGCACATTTGGTTTCTTTCACTGCAAACTGCTTTGAGAACTCAGTTAAAGTGACATGTTGAGCAAAACTTAAAATCTTATAATATTAGACTTATAAAAATAAAATAGACTTGTAAAATATATAGACTTAGGAGACTTATAATATTAGATTGTTTCTTAATGAAGATTGTGCAGATTTTTTTTTTTTTTTAATCTGGAAAGGCTCGTATAACTGCTTATTCAACTGTATACTGAGCTCTGTAGACTGTCACGTGAAAGTATGTCTGCTTATATGTTTGACATACAGTTATACATCTGGTAACATAAGGGAAGGCAGATCCCTCCAGCTCTCACGTGTGCAGCCACCCTGTGGAGTGAGCATTGGACTTCTCTGTGCAAACCAAACAGCCTTTGATTTTGTGACTAGTGCATGTGTGCACTCTCCTTACACCAAGAAGCATTAATCTATCGCACCAAGCATTAAGCTATCACAGGCCTTAACTGTGCTTAGACACTTAATGAGCATCTCTCCTGTGATGGAGGAGGGACCGCAGATCCCGAGACACAGGTTGTTCTCGTAGGCAGAATCTATCTTGCAAGCTGTGCTATTGTTTATGATTTAAATCAAACTTGTCTAAAAACTAAAATAGGAAACTTGACTCAACCGACTGAAAGGCTTTAGCACAAGCATTCTGACGAGAAATTAAGAAGAATCTAAACTGTCAGCAGTTATTTAAAGTTATTTTTGTGTTGCCACAGTCATCTTCAACATGTGAAGGAAGAAGAACTTCTACATGGATGAATTTGGTTCTTGTGCTCAAATCTTACATTTTAAGAGGTGTCCATCCAATGTAACAAGTTTCTTATTTTGGATACACTTGATCTGGCAGCAGCAATACAGTAGGCCTCCTCCTGTGCTATGCTTTTCTGATGGTTTTGAATACCACTCAATAAAAGGGGAGAATTAGGCTTACTTATGTGCATACACATAAGGATAGTGATGTTTTTCATAAAGGTTAATTTTTATATAAATGTCTCCAGCTTTAAGGAAAAGGCACTAGAAAAGATATAACCAAATTGATATTCCTGAACATCCTCTATCAGTAATGTCATTCTCACCTATATATGTCCTCATAGAATACGTGTTTCTTGAAGCAGGAATTTAGATCCCATTTTTAAGTGACACCAAATGATTTGAACACAGCAGCTGGGTATAGGAAAGCCATTGTTTGGGGAATTGCCAGCTCTGACAAAGCAACAGCGTGTTGCTACTTTGCCCGTGAAGTTGGCAATATTACAAGGTACAGGCTTGCTAACCAGAACTTTGCTACAGTCAGCTTATTTCCTTTTGTGTCCATGATTACTGGCAGAATGCAGGCTTCAGTTAGTCCTGTAAGTGTGGTGTTATATGGCCAAATAGGCTGAAAGAGATTCTGGCTCATCATATAAGGATCAAACTGTTAGAACATTGTTATGCATATCCTTGCACTTGTTATTTGTGAACTATTATCTTTGTGTATAACCAAAGTACAAGGGTGTAAAACCTTATCTTTTTTACATCTTGAATAGGCACCAGATAGTTGTCAGCAGCTAATATATAAAATGTATTGGATTCAGAGGAACCTGATGTTGTGGTTGTCATTTTTTAATTACTTGGCTCGATCTCTTTACTCTGTCCAAATAAAGGCTTTTCTTCAACTGAGAGTCTGTTGAATGCAATTTCCTTTTTTGTTGTTGATGCTCAATTATGAGAGTTTTCTCCTACGTTTGTCTCTATGCTTTTTTGCGGTATATATGAGGAGATGGCATGTTCTCTAACAGGAAGTTTTATGCCAAGTCTTTATAAAGACTCACATTTTTAATGTGAAAAATAGGTCCGGATAAAAATCTGTTGTTGATTTATTCCCATGTCTTGTTTTTGGCTCCTATCTCTGACTAGAGCAATAGCCTTGTTCAGTACTATTTTGTTCTCTATTTTAAAACTACAGACAAGTGGTGCTGGTGTTCTGTAATTTTTCTTTTGCTTTATAAGTTCAAGTTGATTATGACCAACATATAAAATGTGTTCTGACTCAATTAAACTTTCAATTCAAAATATCTTTTTTTTTTTTTTTTTTTAAACCAATGAAAAGAAATTGTAATAGCAGAATTTCAGACTCGGTAGGGAGTTTAATTACTTTTGTCTTTTTCAGTAATTTATTCACCAGTTAGAGTCTTTTCTGTGAAGAATCTTGATTGAAATACTGCCTAATTTCTTAGCTGGAATTCAGCAAATGAAATATCTATCAGGGAAGATCAGGAATAACAAAAAAAGATTGATTTTAGGGAAACACTTGATAAGAAAAGTGATCAAAGGTCATGTATTGCAATTGAGATTCTTCCATAAACCTGAGGTTTATTCTTGGTAATACAGACAGGAGTGTGAGGACAAACTGTGCTTTCCAAATTTGCTGAAAATATTTAACTAGATTCTCTCATTTATTTTATTCCATAGGTGTAATCTGCAAACTTCAGGAGTGTGCCATCTCATAGCCTGACATCTTCTCCAGTTTATGTTGTAAGAGATAAAGCTATCAACCAGGAAAGATCTGAGTACAGACCCCTGCGGTACTGCACTTGTTATCAGCATCCAGGTAGAGTACGAGCCACTAATCACTGCCCTCTGAACCTAATCATCCAACCAGCTTTTCACCCGTTTGGCTGTGCACCCAGGTAGACCATGACATCCTACCTTAAATACAGGAATACTGTGAGAGATAATGTTGAAAGCCTGCTAAACTTGCATTAAATGATATTCACAGCTCTCTCCATCTACACAAATTCAGTCATTTCATCCTAAAAGGCAACCAGATTGGTCAGGCATGATTTACCCTTTACAAATCCATTTCAGTTGTTCTCAGTCACCATACCAGCTGTGTGCCCAGTGCCAGGGACTGAAATTGGGCTGACTTGCTTATAATTCTCTGGGTTGGTCTTTCATAAATTTTTCTCCAATCTCAGACATTTAATTTCTCAATAACTGAAAGTGAAATATGTCAGCAAATATGTATACTGATGAGAATTCTCGATGCAGTTTTTTCTCAATGTGTATCAGAAAATGGTTTTGCTCTTAAATATGCTGTCCAGGATAATGTCTGACAATTTTGGGTGATCTCATCAACCTGTGGAGGGAATACTTCCTCCATTACTTTTACCCATGGGATATATCAACCACCTGCTTTTATTTGGCCAGACTTTCATCATAAGCATGACATAATACTTTTACATCTATTTATTCTACTGTAACTTGCCTTCATTCATTAGTCTGGGAAAGGACTTTAAAGTAATATCATGATCTCAAAGATGTTTGACTCTGTAATAGCTGTTCCTCACACACCTGCATTTGGTAGAATTTTCAGAAACAAATACTTTTGACAAGAAAATTGAATTGATTCTTTATCCCATTGCTGATCTACATGGTATCTTAACTTGTATTGATGAAGTGATAGCTGACAAATTGAATTCTCACTGAAAATATTACTAGTCCATGATTGAACCAAGGTCTTTAAAAGGTGCTCTTGAGAAAGTTTATTTAATTTCTTGGTTGTTTTAATAAATTTATGCAAATCGGAAGCAAAATAAATAGTTTTTACATATCAATGTGTTCATGAGACGGCACAGAAAGTTTCCTCCTGGTATTTAAAATGCAGTCAATTTCTCATTGCTGAGCGAAGTTCACTATCTTTGTTTCAAGTGGATGGCAAGTGGACCAGTACATATTCTTAGTCATACCAAATATGTCAGTGATTAGGAACAAGAAATTCACAAGAATAGTAGGATTAAGCTGCTTCTGATTTTTATTGGCTTGAACTTCTGCTTAAGGATAAGTCACCTGTGCATAATTAATTGAAACAGTTATTTCAGATATATTTTAAAGAATAAATCTCTAATATAGCAGAGTAAGGGAAATGATTACTATTTGGTTGGCTAGTGTGGGACACAAGAAATGTTCCAGGCCATGATATCAAGGTAAAACACAGTGTGTCATGATAATGGTTTTATAGGGATTGTGTGTCAGAATTCTGGGTTCTGTTTCCAAAACTGTCACAGACATGGATGATCAAATTGTGGTTAAGTTATATTAATATGACCTAGGATTAATCCTTTAATACAATCCAAAATACAAATATTATTCAGCTAGAATTCTACTTAGGGCAGAGAATTCAATGCTTTGTCCTTGACATTGTTCTCCTATTTGGATAAGTGAGAAATTAAAAAAAAAAAAAAAAAAATTGCTGTAGGTCATAATCTGATCTCAGTTATTTTGGTGTAAAACTGGAATCAGTCGTCTTTGAATATGTGGAATCACTGAAATTTTATATTGCTGTGAGTTGAATTTTACCCTGTCTGTAAACCATTCTTGATGAAGATTGGAAAGTATTAAATAGAGTAAGTAGGTCACAGAAGTGGGATGATACTGCCCCTTATCTTTAAACAGTATTCTAATTTGACTGTAGCGCAACGAAAAGAAATGAATACTCTACGTGCTCCCATGTGAGCTGTCAGAAAGATAAAACTGAATATTCTCTAAATCAGCTTTTCCATGGACAACTGCTTCATCATCATTAGTATGTATATCCTTATTAATATCTAGGCCACCCAGTTACGAGACCCTAGACTGCAGCTTTTCATAATTTACAACTACTCCCATCATTTTCAGCAGGATTGTATGCATGACCTATCACAGAATGAACACTTGATATATTTCTCTGAGTCCTCTCAAAGTGTTCTTTTGAAATAAGGGCTAAGAATAAAAGTATCCATCTGTTAGAAAGTAGCATTTATGCACAGTGTGGTGATCCTTGCCAACTGTTTTACTTAGCATAGCTGTGTGTGAATGGACTGGTCACTGTAAGGTGTCTGAGAACTTGGAACTGAGACAGTTTGGCAGATGAGGGCACTTTCTAAAGTGATATCTAAGAGTTAGGATCAGATTATAAATAAATGCCTCTAAATTCTGTAATTGCACAGTTTATAAATATATTCCATTTTCAGTCTTTGACCAAGTCTGGAAAATTTTAAAGATGTTTACAGACCACTCACAGTCTCTTCATCTGGTTGAAAAATTTAGCTCAGGACCAGATGTTCACTCATAAATAGGAAGTAGTGTAAGTGAGAGTGGAATAGAGATGAATGCAGGCAGGTTTGCAGGGTAAGGCTGGGGAAACCGATATAGAAGTGACTATTGTAAGCACTGGTTACTTATGCAAAGAATAACATAATACAGTGTAGACTGTACTAGTGTGAGAGATTGACTGCAGTGACAGCAACTATAAATGGAGGATTCAGCCAATTGTTCAATGCCAGGTGGAATTTGAGATATAAATTTCTGATGTGGGATTGGCTTTATGAGGTTTGGAGTTTTCAATATATTAAAAATGCAAAGTGTTTTATTTTATTCCACAAATTTCTAGGATCCTGTATCCAGAGTAATAAGAAATGCTATTGCTTGGTCTTAATAATTACATTATTGACTACAACTCTGTCAAAGAAAGTGTAGAGGGGGGGAGTAAATGAAAATCAGCCAAGCAGTAAACGCTGCTTATCAGGAAACACTTTCTTTATAGGCATCTCTGGAGAGATCTTGATGAAGATGATATTTTAAGTCTTTTGTGGCAAAAGAACTCTTCCATAAGTAAAATAAACCCAAATTATGCTGTTCCTCAACCCAGCAGCACATGCCAGAGCTGTGTAACTAGATTTGTTTATTGATAAAGCAGTGTAATTTATCTAAAAAATGATGAAACCTGTTTTCATTACCTTGTATGCTAATAGATAAAAGTAGATGATCCCAACCAGGTCTTTTGAAACAAAGAAAGCTCTTCAGTTTCTTCAAGTAAGTCAAGACACTAGTCTTGAGACAAGCATGCTGGTTAACCTTAAAGAATTCAAAACGGAAATAAAATCTTATGAGTTGTCTGTTAACCAGGATTGGTCAATGTGCACTTTCTAAGCATGCGTAGTCTAAACAATCTAAATCGTGATGGAAATATTTTTTTAAATCTTTGAATTGTAAAAGGATTTAAAAATCATGTTTCATATAGATTATTGCAAACTCTAATGTTCCTTCAATTTCTTGGTGCTTGAAGCTTGAAGCTCTTTTTGTGCCTTTTCTGGTGAGGTGCCATCATCCTATGTTAAACAGTTTGTTCTAAAGCACAACTATTCTTAAGTAAACATACTATACTTCATGTGATGAGTCAAATACGCTTATGAGACAGAATGTTCTTTATTGAGTCACAGCTGAAGAAAATATGCAGATGGTTAATACAAAAATCTTAATTGTTAGAATACTGCAAAACATTAAATAAAGAGGATGTAACACTGGTTTGAGAAATAATTCTGATTTCAGCACAGCCTCAACTGTAAATGCTTTTCAACTTACAGCATGGTACATTCATTCGTAGCAACCACATTTCATTTAAGACATAAAACTTGCCATTTTATTCTGAAAGTGACCAGGGTCTGTCAGTTCTGCATTTTGCTCTTATTTTGAATGCTTTGTCTTCACTGTATGGATATGTATTTGTACTATAAATCTTTAGCCTCAGTATCCCACTTACACTTTTACAGTGATTTTTCTCTCCTGGTTGGTTTGGTTTTGGTATTTATTTTACTGTGTTTTCTTACAAAAATGCCTCCATTGTTTTTTTTTCTCTTTTTCTGTGGTGGCTACGTTTTGTTAGTGTGCTGGTGGTTGCACTGTTCCCACAATTAAGTAATCAGACTTTTGTGTGGTAAGGTGAGGATATACAGCTTGTGAACCAAGCATCAAATAAAATTATATTAGTTTAAGACAGAGCTACCACAAGAATGGACTTTCTTACAGATGTCTCTCACAACTTGGCAATTTTCTGAGAAGCACAACCTGCAATGTGTCAGAGCTGGGCCTAGGACTCTTAGTTCATTGACAGCTGAGCTCAGGAAGGTTGTGGAGAAACAGAGTTACAGGAAGAACAATAGCTGTATTGTTTGTAGGAAGCTCTTCCACCTTGCATATCATCCTGAGCAATTTTAAAAACATTGCTTTCTATTTAAAAGGCATAATTTATCTCCCCGTGTAAACATTTAAGTAGTAGCACTGACAAAGATTTTTTTTTTAAAGATACCATAATGTTTTTAATTATGTATATTGTAACTTAGGATATTTAGACATTACAGCCTTTGAGTTTTCAGTCTGTTTACAAACTCTTATCTTGTGTGGCCTTTTATCTGCTGCATGACTTGCCTGGTGAAGTGATTTTTTTTTTCCTAATCATTAGGTGTGTTGTATTTTCATAAAGAATAATCATAGAATGTGTCAGAAAAAAGTACAGAGAACAATTATGTTATAGAAATATCTACTAAGTAAACCAAGCTCAGATGTGTTGAATCAACAGTAATATCAAACACAATAACAAAATAGTTATCAGACATGGAATTAATATAGTTATTGGTTACGCATCTTAATTATGTGTGTTAACACAAAGCAGCCTGCCTAATTACATAAGTTTTCCCATAAAATGTATATTTTCTTAGGAGTCTGCAATGTAAATCTATGTTCATTACTACTTAGTATTAAACTACATCAGCATTGGTAGGTGCTTTCCTAACA